GGCTGAAATTTTCCACTGATGAAAGACATTTAGTCAGAGATATGAGAACTGGAAGCAGAACAAGTTAAAAGGAAATCACATCTAGAGTTCAGTACTTTCCCAGAAATGCTATAACCACTTGCATATGATCAGCTCTTCTGTAGGCAACAATTATAAACTATAGGCAACATATTTTTAAATTATTTGAAATCTTTATAGAGTGATCAAAATAGGCAGAAACTGCAATGGTCAATCTTTGAAAGAAGCAAACAAAATTGGATGAAGTTTTACATTGATGCAGCTTTTACCTCTGAGGGTATGCTCTGGTTCAGATGACACGGATGGCTAACATTAAACAGAAAGGCATGGTCTTATTTGTTTGAAGTATCAGCAGTAGGATATGGTAACTAGAGATTGAGAGGGAACTCCCAGGAAAAGGATTCTCAGAAGGATAACCCCTCAAATCTGTGCGCAATTTCTCCTAAAATCCTTGACTGATACCTGGATAGCACATGGGCAAGAGAGAGTTCAAGGAGCCCACTTGGAAGCCATAGCTAGGGGAGATATGAAAGTCAAATAATGATTTAAGTTGCTGGTCACCATTGGGGTGAAAGATTTTGGACTTGGAATTCTGCCAAGTTACAGGGGCTTGATATATATTGTGGTCTTTCCACTTAAATTCTAGATATATATTATACTTAAGACAACAATGATATTCCAGGTCTAAGGGCAAATCCAAGGCAGATCTTTCCCAAAAAACCAAACTTCCACAAATTCAAGGTGATTTTTTTTATTAATTTACCAGCCTGACAGATAAAAACAGCAGAATAAAGGGCCTTTACAATATATCATTCCAATTTTCTAGTATATATAATTTGAAAAATCTCTAGACATGTCAAATAACAGACATAGAAAAGTATGACCATAATAAGGAGAAATAAATCAACATAAACTGATCCTGAGCTAACTCAGATATTGGTATTAGCAGAGAAGTTTTTAAAGGCAACTATTATTTTTATGGCCAAAAATTTAAAGGAAACCTGGTTATTATAAATGAACAAAGGGTGAATCTGAAAAGACACATAGAAACTATAAAAAAGGAAAAGAACTGAAATTATAATGTCTGAAATGCTAAATTCAGTGGGTAGGCTAATAGGAGATAAGAGATGGCAGAAGAAATGATCAATGAACTTTAAACAGAACAATTTTAATTATACAACCTGAAGTACAATAAAAAAAATTTAAAGATAACATATCATAAGTAATATGTGGAATATATGAAGAAGTTAATAAATACATAACAGTGATCCCACAGGAAAAAATAATTTTAAGGATAACTATTGAAGGAAATGATTGTTGAAAAATTCCCAAACTAAGTATGAAACATCAACTTATATACCCAAGAGACTCAACAAACACCAATTAGGAGACAAAGAAAACTACACTTAGGCAACATACTCAAACTATAGACCAAAGGCAAAAGAAAATCTTAAAAACAGAGAAAAGAAGTCTTAACATCACCAGTGAAGAGATAGGATGACTGATTCTCAAAGAAACAAAGAAAGCCAGAAGACACTGCAGTGCTATCTTCAAAGTAATAGCTGCTAAACTAGAATACTAATCTCAGTGAAAATACCATTTATAAATAAATCTGCATACTTTTCAAACAACCAAAAATGGAGAGAATGAATCATTAGCTGAAACTCATCAAAGAAAATACTTCAGGGAGTTCCTCACACAGAAGGAAATTAATCCCAGATGGAGACATCGAAATGAAGGAGAAATGAACAGTAAATATGTGAGCAAACTTTTAAAATACTGACTTCAGAAACAATAACTCTGTATTGTAGAGTTTAAAATACATGTACAATTTTTAAGTGGCAAACATAACGCAAAAGGCAATGGTTGTTACATAATATTGTCTATCGTAGTACTAATTAGGAATATGCTGTGATCTGAATGGTTATCCCCTCAAAAAAAAAAAAAAAATCCATGTGTAAATTCTAACCTCAAGGAGATGGTACTAGAAGAGTACCATCTTGAGTCTCATACTAAGATTGGGGGCTTTGGCAGATGATTAGAGCCAAATGAATTGGATTAGTACACCCTTTTAAAGAGGCTTCATAGAGCTTGTTTTCCACTATGTGAGGCTACCCTGAGAGGATGTCAGTCTGTATAAGAAGAGGGCTCTCACTAGATATAACTCAGCTGGCCCTATGATCTTGGACTTCCCAACTTCCAAAACTGCAGTGATGGTTACTTTATAAAAATGACCAGGGAAGCCCATGATGAGAAAATTTTGAGTAGAGACCTGAACAATGTCAATGACAGAAACACTGTATATGTATACATGGTTGTAGACTAGGAAAGTAGAGAGAAAAATGTAAAAATTTTTATACTTCGGGTCAATGTGATTGAAGATAAATACTTTTAAGTTTCTGTTTGTGACTACAGCACATTATTAATAAAAAAAATTGGGAGACTGAAGGGTGTACTTTAATTAATGATAATTGAAATATTTTTCAAGTTCTATTTTGAAAGGTCATCTCCTCTCTCTCTGCAAAAAAGTATGTTAGTGAAGTTCTGAATCTAAAGTATAATTTAAAATTTTTCTTTAAATTATTTTTGATGATAATTTGGATTCAGAAACTATATATTCCAGGCAAAATTGAGCATAAAAATTGGTAGTTTAACATTCATCTAAGTTTAAAAGTATTTCCATATACAATATATTTTAATAAAATATTTGGTAAAATTCTTTGTTATGACTTACAAAAAGTGAAAAAGAAATTGCAAAATGGCAGCTCTAAGTCCTCCTAAGGCACAATCACTATTTTATATTCTGCAAATGTAATATATAAAAGTCAGTATACATATACACTCCCCAGTATTTAAACGGCAATTACTGGAAACAATTTAGGTGACCAAAATAATTCTATACTGATTACATTTATATTTCACAGAAGGATGACTCCATTCAGCCTAGAAACCTCAATTCAAGCATCTGTCCTGTGAAGCCCTCCCCTCTGCTCCCTCCTCAGATTCCTCTGTGTACAATCCCACTGGCCATCCTCTCTGCCTCCACAGTACCTGTTCCACACTCCATTCCTACTGCTAGACCATGTGAGACCTGTTTGCCTCTTTATTACTTCCACCTCCCATCAGAAAACTGAGAAAATTTGTTTTATGCATCTTAATTTTCCATTCTTAACACAGCACCTAACATTCACACATTGATTGGACAGATATTTTTAATCAATTTTGTAAAATTACAGTATTAAATTGAGCAAGATTAACCTTGCTCTGGACTAGGACTAGACTAGCTTGTTCACAACCCAGCAAGGGAGAAAATACACACATGAACTCTTAGTGTGCCAGTGAGATTCATGCCCTCATGAATGTGCATAACAGGTAGTGCAGTGATTAACTTTGGCTGAAGTTGCATTTCTGAGGAAGTAACTCTTGAGCCAAGTTGTTCAGCAAGAATTAGGTGTTAATTCTGCTGGTGATGTGTTAGATGACTGGAGAATACAAAATGGAATAGAAAAGGCACTTATCTCCTCTCTGAAGATTTATAACCTTGAATTAATAGTTTGAGTGAGAATGACACAGGTAGTCAATAAGGGTAGCAAGGTTGGTGGCCAGTTGGCTAAACTGTTAAAATATTGAATTCTTCCATACCAGTGGTAAATAGCAGGTCTTCCATGCACCTCTCCATTTACTCCTTATTCTACATTCTTTTGGTACCCTCTGATCCACAACCCTCAGACTTATTGTGCACTAGTGACTAAAAAGTCAAAACCCCTATGCACTTAATATTTTACATATAATCTCGGGGAATACACTTCACCAAGGAGGGAGATTATAAAACATGAAATAACTGTGAGTATTCAATAAACTGCAGTTAAAGGTCAGACCCTGATGTTCAAGCTGGGGAACAAAGGAAATGGAATTGAAGAATTGAGAAGGGCAATGGACATTCATTGGAAGATTTTTAAGCAGATCTGCTTTTAAAAACAACAATTCTAGCCAGATACTGTGGCACATGTGTCTAATTCTAGCAGCTCAGGAGGCTGAGGCAGGAAGATTGAGAGTTGAAAGTCAGGCTCAGCAATTTAGCAAGACCCTAAGTAACTCATCGAGATCCTGTCTCTAAATAAAATATAAAAAAAAGGGCCTGGGGGGATTTGGCTCGGTGGTTAAGTGCCCCTGGGTTCCATCCCTGGTACAAAGAAACCAAAAAACAAAACAATAAAACCAATTTTGACCACTTTAGTATATAAGGGCCAGAAGATGTTTATTGGATTGAGCTACCCTGATGCTAATAAATTATTAGCAGAAACATATGTTCTTACTATGTGTGTGTTTATGGGTGTGTGTGTGTGTGTGTCTGTGAACACATGTATTTCTATTGCTCTTTCTTTTCTGCCTGCTAATGAGACATTAGTATCCACATTTGCAAGATGGCTAGTCATTATTTGGGATCTTGTCTGCTGATAACACCGAAGAAAACGAGTCCAGATGAACAGAGGGAATTGATCCAGAGACTCTGTTTTAATCAGCACAAACCTCCAGCCAACAAGAAGGAAAAGGGGAAAAAGACTTTATAAATCCTACAGACTTTGTGGGGAATTTGTCTCCTTATTTGTACAAATTACAGAATCTATTATTCTACTACTACTCCCTTTTGCAAGTGGTGATTTCAGTATTATAGACAGGACACTGAGAAATCATTTGGGGAAAAATCAAACTCAGCTGATCTAGAGTGATTTTTTTTATTTCACTGAGAACATTTCATTAAAAAGTGACCTAATGCTGATAAATGAGTTTCTTCATCATTTTGATCAGGCATGAGATCATGCAGAAGTTTTGAATTTAAAAGGGCCAATGGAAAAGGCTTGATTGTTTTAAAGTATTGATAGAATTGGTTCTCCATTATTTAATTCCTTACTTGCATAAAAGACAATATGTTCCTCATTAATGGATGTCTGGTTAAGTGATAATTAAATACCAAAACAAGATCTGAACAAATCATTGTTTTATTTTAACATCACTGTTCACTGCCAGTTTATCTGGCAATCACTGCACTGTAGACATTATCAATTACAATGTAATTCCTATAATTATATGTATGTCTTTTCATGTTCTGTCTTAACAGTAAATGATAAACTATTGTCATTGAATATTAATTTTCAAAATCTTTCAGCAGCAGGCACAAAATCAAAACCCAATCAACAGAATAAGTATGTACAACAAGAAATCAAGGTTACCTCCTTAAGACATAGATGCAATATTTTCATATTCCTAAAGATCTGCATTTTCGGGGGGGGGGCAATAAACAATAGAGTACTAAAATTTAATACAGAATCTGGTGTCGTTTAATACTGTTTAATATTTTAAAAGTTTAAGAATATAGATCACCTTAATGTGGACATTGTTTCTTGCATAACATCATATTGTAGGGAGATTTACCCTTTTGGGGTGATCCCCTCCCACTATAATTGTCTCCTCAAAGTGAGCAGTCTGGAGGAGCCATGAAGTCATTCCTCTTCACTCTTAACCAGTATGCGCTCTGGAGGAAGAACGGATTCCAGTTTCTGCCAGCGTTCTGGAGGCCACAGGATATGAGTAGCATGAGCATGCAGAAGTCCCAGGGAAACCTGAGTCCATGAAAACACAAAGAAAACATTTTATAAAGGTCATCATCAATATCTTGAGAGCAGAATTTGATCCACGTCTGGCATTCCATAGAAAGATGCTGATAAAATAGTCAACACTTACATAGATAGCATTTTCCCAGGTGTCTTATGTATGTAAACTCCTTCCATACTTGCAACAACCGTTTTTTGTAGGTAGTTTATTATTTACACTTTATAGGTCAGGAAAAAAATGTCCAGAGAGATTAAGAAATCAGTCAAAAGTCACATACTTTCAATTGCTGGAATCTGGCTCCAGTACCAGGCAGGACAGGTTGCAACCCTAACCGGTACCCTCAAGAACCTGTCTCTATAGACTCAGGAAGCATAAATAGTTTATAATCTCAGAATTTCTTACAGATTTCATGTATCTGATTTTCATTTTGAAAAAAACAATCATACAGACTTGAAAAATTCAGATTTTGTGAAAAGTATTGTGCTAATATTGTATGAGCTGCGAGTTAGGTGTGAGTCCCTGGTAGCCTGCCTCGGTGGGAGACCACACTGAGCTACAGGGAACCAGCATTCACGGAGAGAGTGAAACCCAAGGGCAAGCCGGCAAGCCAAACATGGTGGAACAGGAAGCTAAGGAAAGTATGAAGATCATGGCAGATGGTCAAGAAGCCCATCAGCAGAGATGAGCAGTGATCTGCCAGGAGGGAAGAGGAGGCAAGGGGAAAAAAAACTCTTCCTGGAGGAAATAAGGCTGAGCCCAGAGGCAGAAAGGGAACCTTAAACACCATAATCTCCCTAAAGACATTAACTTTGAGCAGGAGAAGATGGCATAGTTGTTTAAAATATAGATCAGGGCCATAGCCTCAGAGATCACCTGCCAGGGGGTCTGAGGTAAGGCTAGAAATCCATGTCATTTGTTGTTGTTTTTATTGTTACTACTGTGGAATATATGAATGGTTCTTGAAGACATTCATACTTAGGACATAGTTTTTGAATGCCAGCTATAAATCATATACTATATGTCCATTTCATTTACTAATTTATTTTCAAATGTTTTCCCTATTGACTGTCTACAGAGATTAGCACAGAATTGTTGGTGATACAGTGGATAGAACCCTCAAGTGCTTTACCACTGAGCTATACCTTCAGCACATTTTTTTTTTCTATTTTGGGACAGAGTGTTGCTAAGTTTTTAATGTTGACCTTGAACTTGCAATCCTCCTGCTTTAGCCTCCTGAGTCAATGGGATTACAGATATATGCCACTACCCCAGGCTAAGATGTTTACTATTAATACCATATTACTTGTTATATAGTCCACGTTCAAAATTTTTCAATTGTTTCAATAGTATCTTTTCTATTTTATTTTTAAAATTCGGGATCTAATCAAGGATGACAAATTGCATTTAGTGGTCATTATTTGCTTCCAATTATATTTTGTTTACTTTAACCTGAAGTCCAGGACAGTTACCTTGAAAAAATGTCCAACATCTAGCATTGCCTGATTTTTTTTCCTCTCATAAATAGATGCAAGTTAAAATATTTTGGCAAGATTAAAATACAGTTGATAATGTGTTCTTCCCACTCTGACACACTGGGAGACAATAATATCAGCTTTTCCCATTGTTGTAATGTTAAGTTTGATAGCTAAATTAAGATGATGGTAACCAGATTTCTCCATTTACAAACACATATTTTCCCTTTTGTAATTAATAAGTAATCTATGGGATATTTTTAAACAGGACAAATATCCTGTATATCACAACATTACATCTAATGGCTTTACCATCCCTTAACAATCCTGCCTTAATTAACTTATTACATTGTAGATTATAAAAACAGTGATTTTCCTCTATTATTTCTTTTATATCTACTAGCCAAATTCTTCTCTAAAAAAGGGGGGGGGGGCTTCTATTTCTCTCTCAGCCCCAACTCCTTTATTTTAATACCAAAGATGTGCTTATTAAATCAGAACCTGTTATGATCTTTTGTTTGTTGGATGTTCAAAGCCCTCATTTTGGCCAGTGTTCTCTAGCCATATCACCATCAACCTGATTTAAGCACTTTCTTACTTTTTGGTACCACTAGTTGCTAAAGGCTTATTTGTACCTTAAAGCTGTTTTGCCTAAACTCAGACATTTCCTTAAAATGCCTTGGTTTCTTTTAGCAAGAAATGCTATTTATAAACCAAGGTCTGGTACTAGACATGCTCATTGATCCTGGGGTGTTGATATTCCATGATATTTCAGGGAATAAACATACAAAAATCTAGTACCAAAAGGCTCTCCCTTCAGTTTCCCCCATTCTATATTTTATTTCCCTTCTTTCACAGTGAGCACCTTGGCTCCCCACATTAACACATTTGCTCATTTACATATTCCTAAAGTACACAAAAAATTTCAGGGTGACTATACTATCACTACTATAACCACAAAACATTTATTGGTAAAAATCAAGATTTCTTGGCAATTATTTTGCTTCTTGTACTAGTCCACTTTCTGTTATTGATTGGGTGCATTTTAAAGAAAAAAGTTTTATTTTTGGTTTATGGTCCTGGAGGTACAAGATAAAGGGTCTATACCTGGGGATGGCCTTGCTGCTGGCAGAGTTCTGGTTTGGCACAGGCCACAAGTGGAGTGTGTGTCTGGTCTTTTTCTTCTAATAAAACCACAATGTTCTGTCGTGGGGTTCCACCTTAATGACTTCATCTAATTCTAAACACGTTTCAAAGGCCTGACCTTCAAACTGCATAGTTGGATTAAATTTGTATCCTATTAGTACCTCAAAATGGGTATAAAACTCCATGAGTTCTGGGAGACAAACCATTTTCAAATTTTTTCAAAGCACAGTAGTACTTAAAACATATCTTGTTTTAAGGATGTTTAGTAGGTCCTGTATTCAAACTTCATTTGAATCAAGTCTTTTTTTTCTCCCAAGTGTAGTAATGTTACCAATTCATAAACAAGTTCATTTGTTTCTATTTATATTCAATTTTAGAATTTGCTTTGGTTATTCTTTTTTGATTTATCTTTATTTCTGAATGTATAAACATCTACAATGGTTCAAAAGTCAAAATCATTTTTAAAAGGTATAGTAAGCAGAATGATACCTCCTCCCCAAAGATGTCCACATCTTAATTGACAGAAATTATGACATTTTATATTGTAGGGCAAAGGGGAATCAAGATTCACTAATCAGCTTATCTTAGGATGCTGAGAGTATTCTGTATTATACCAGGGGCCCAAATATCAGCACAATGGTCCTTAAATATGAGAGAAGGTAAGGAGAATATATTGCAGAACATCCTAAGTAACAGTGCCTCCCACATTAATTGCCAGGAAATACTTCCCCAAGCCTGAATGATCAGTCATGCCATTCTGCTGTTGTTATTTACCTTTGTTTATATCTAGGCTCACCTGAGTTAGAGAAGAGCTGGTCTCCATCTCACCTAGAGTAACCTTTTTTAGATTTGATAGGTGCTACTCAATTGTACCTCAAGTCTTGCTTTTCCAAGTTTTTAAACTTTTTCACAAGGGTGCTTTGCCAATTTTTTAACTTTGCTGAACTCTTGCCAATATATTTGTTTGCTTGCTTGCTTTAGTTTTGGAGTTCAGTTTTGGACACAGTCATTCAACTCTGGTTTTTTTAATCAACATTCATTTTACTGAAACTAATCTTAGGATTCTTTAATTTCAAATTTGTTAAAGATACTATTCTCACATCAGGAGAAAAATTAATCTTCACAATTATGAATAATAATGGTGAAAATAGCTATCAATGAATAATACCAAAATTGCTTAAAATCATTATATGGGAATGCAAAATTCAGGGTTTTAAAAAATATTCTAAAATAATATTTTGCGTGTGTGTGTGTGTGTTTGTGTGTGTACAGATATCTGTATATGCTATATCTAAACAGCCTATTCATCATTTTCTTGATTGTGTGGACATGGGTCTTTATTTTTTGTTGGTATGTTTATAGACATGCAGAAAACATAGTGAATATAGAAGAATAAAAAAATCCAGGAATACAGGAACTTTTTCAAAATTAAAAGCTATGTTTTGTATAAAGTTATGCTTTGGTCTCCACACTTGCTGCATTAGGATTCTCCAGAGAAATAAAACAGAAAATATAATATAAGGAGATTTATTTTAGGGAATTAGCACACCTTATTGTGGAGGTTTAGCAAATCCAAAATCTAGCAGGGGCAACTGTTAGAAGACTGGGGAAATAGTTATAGTTTAAGTTCAAAGGTAGTCTTCTGATGAATCAGGAAGGGTTGATTGTAGATGAGGTATAAGGAATCTGTTGGCTCTTTCCCTCTTGATGGAGTGGCGGCAGGGGCAAGTGAACCTGTCTCTACACAGGCATTCAACTGATTAGAGAAGGCCCACCCAAATCATAGGATAATCTGCATTATTCAAAGCCAACTGATTTAAATATAAATCTCACCCTAAAGCACACTCACAGAAACACCCAGAATAATGTTAAACCAAATATCTGGGCACTGCAGCCCAGCCAAATTGACATATGAAATTAACATTCTGCCTGGGAAATGGAATCTTCTTCCTCCTCCTCCTCTTTAATTCACATAGTGTTTAACCACACATACCAACTCATTTAATTTTCACAATAACTGTTGGGGTAGGTACAATTATCTACTTCATTGTTGAGGAAACCTAGATACAGCAATATGGTTTTTGAACTGAGACTCAAACACATAAACTCTGGTTCCAGAGCATCTGTATCATAATTTATCATCCAAATAAGATACTTTTGAGAGTCAACAGGAGCATTATTTTAATTAGGTCAGGATACTAAGTGGAAAATGGGCATGTCAAATCAGGATGTATAGTTGCCCTACCTGACGCTTCTTGACCTTGCTAGGTCCCACATCATTTCCTAAGAAAGGTATCAAAAGTAATTGAAAGTCTATTGTTATGAGCCCAACTTTGTCCTCCAAATTTATATGTCAACATCTTAACAGTCGAGAATGTAACTACATTTGG